CTCCCTCTTCCCATTATAGGATTTGGGCTTGAAAGAATATAACACCTTGGGTTCTTTCTGAGTCCAGGTCTTGTTCAAGACAGCTTCTTTGCACAAGGCCCAATCTCCCTTCACATCCTTCACTTCATCACGAAGTTGATGAGAGTCTCAAATTACATCTTTTTAATATTATTTTGGAGACTTTATGATATAATTTTGGCTTAATAAATATAATTTCACCTGTTGTTACATTTTATTCTCACCAATTGGATTTATGAATTTTCTATATTAATTTGGTGAACTTATTAGGTAAATTTATCTTTTGTAGGAAGTTGGAAAGCCAAAAGATGAACATACATTTGTCCAAGTTGAAGACAGGTGTGAAGAGAATTGTTGGTGGATTTTATTGAAGAATTGATTGTGGGATTATTCTGATTATAAAGAAGGAAAAGAGATGACAAAACCGTTGAAGCTAAAGAGCCTATTTCATGTCATTCATAGCCATTTAAAGCCCACTACCTCACCGTTATTTCTTTTCCACCAACTCTCCACCATCACCACATGTTTAATCCAATTAATCCCTCACTTAAATCCTTCATTACCCAGCATGAATGTATTAACTTCCCACTCAGCTCATTGACTACTATAAATCACCCATCAACTTATTTGGCAAGGGAACCTCTACGACAGATTTCTTTACTCATTTCATTCAAAAATTTAGTTATGTTTTCCTTTGTAATGAGTTGCTAGAACTCTAGCTAAGGCTAAAGGGAATGTCCTTTGAGTAAGTTTGTGAATTGTTCTTTAATCCAATATACGTTATGAATTGCTAAATTCTTTTATTTTTGGTTGTTCAATATTTTCATATCCTTTTATTTTGACTGATGTTAAGTGCTACTATCTTTTCATGAGTTCAATTATATTTTTCTCATTGTTAAGAACTGACTTAGCATGCTTTTAAATTAAAATGTTAGATATTAAGTAACTCCATTTTCTAAACAATCATTAATAAAAGATAACATTGAAAAAGTAAATTGGTTTTAATTTCTTTATCTTCCGGTTAAAGTTTCTCAATGATAGTTTTAATCGAGTTTAGTTTGGATTAAAGAGCATGAAACATATTTTGCTTAAAGAATTGAACCTTGATGCCTTAGCATTTGATATTTCATTTTTAAACTCAATCTCTACAACAATCAAATCAAATTACTTGTCCATTTTGCTTGTCACTTTTATTTTGGTTCTTTTAATTATTTCTTTGTGTGCAGACATTTGCCTACCTGCTCCTTGAGGATACGATACTTGGACTTCCAAGATTATTACTACATGTGACTACTTGCACTTGGGTAGACACAAGTAGTTTTTGGCGCCGTTGCCGGGGAGCGGTAAAGCGAAAAGTAGCACAAGGAAATTCATTGTTAAGGTTTGCAATTTTAGTTTCCAAAGCTAATTCGGTAAGGCTTATCAAACTCAATTTTTCATTTCTGTTTTTTATTTTTTATTTTATTTTTTATTTTTGGTGTTTTTTTTTTTTGGCTTTTGTCTTAGTTTTTTTTTAATCTATTGCTTCTTTATTTTGTTTATGAGATATCGTGATTGGTTTGGCAGATTTGCAAAGAGACCTCAATTTGACCAAATTTCATCACAAATGGCTGAATAATAATAATAATAATGCATTGGAAGGGCCCCAAAATGATGAAGATAATCATAGTGTTCATAATGATGAGAATCCACTTGTTAGGACATTACATGATTATTTGCATCCTGCTCGTACAAGTGTGCCATCTTGCATCATTTTTCAGTTAAATGGTCAAACTTTTGATTTTGAACCGGGCATGATACAACTTTTACCAAGTTTTCATGGAATGGAATCTGAAAATCCATATTCACATGCGTGTGAGTTTGAAGAAGGTTGTGGAACTTTTCCAACACAAGGGTGTAGGCTTGATACAATTTTGCTTAAACTTTTTCCATTTTCATTGAAAGATAAAGCAAAAACTTAGCTTTATTCTCTAAGGCCAAGAACAAATGGAACATGGCTTGAAATGCAAACTGAATTTTTCAAGAAAATTTTTCCCAATTCAAAAGACAAATTCTTTGAAAAGACAGATGACAACATTTTCTCAAAAAGACACTGAGTCTTTACCTCAAGCTTGGGACAGATTTAAAGATTTGTTAATGTTATGTCCTCACCATGGTTTTGAAAGATGGAGGGTGGTAAGTCATTTTTATGATGGCTTAACACCAAAAGATCGACAATTTATTGAGATGATGTGCAATGGAAATTTTATGTATAAAGATCCTGAAGATGCTTTTGATTTTCTTGATGAAATTGCAGAGAAATCTTAGATTTGGAGCACTCCTAACACATTTGAGCCTAATTCCCAAAAGGCAAAATCTTATATTAATCCTTCCAGTGGTGGTATTTATCACCTTAAGGAGGAAGATAGTCTCAAAGCTCAATTGGCAACAATGGCTAGGGAAGTTGAAACTCTAAAATCAAAATTGCCTAAAAAAGTTAATTCAATTGCAAGTCAAGAAATTTTTGACATTTGTGAAGTTTGTTGGGGTCATGGGACATGTAACAAAAGAGCGTCCAACACTTCTAGCTTTCAGAGAAATGTTGCATGATCAAGCAAACTTTGTGAATCAATTTAAAAAATCATCCACTTTTTCTAAAACTTATAATCCAGGATGGAGAAACCACCCAAATTTCAGTTGGAGAAATAATACTAATAATAATGTGCCTCAACAAAAATCTAATTCTTTTTATTATTCTCCACAGGTGGAAGGACAATCATTGTCATCAAATTTGGAAGATGTTATGAAGCAATTCATGCAAAGCCAAACTGCCACAAATCAAAATAATGCATAAGACATTGGTGAGATTAAGAGCACTCTTTCCAAACTCACTTTTTCACTGTCAATTCAAGAAAAGGGTAAATTTCCTTCTCAAGTCCAACCCAATCCACATGCTTAGTTAGAGGTAACTACCCCTTCTTCTTCTTTGAATGAAAATAAGTATGAACATGTGAAGGCTATCACTACTCTTCATAGTGGGAAAATAATTAGGAAAGATGATTCAGAAAAAGTTGAAAATAAAAAGTATTAAGGAATGTTGAGGCCCAAAAAATCCAAGGCTAGGCCCAAATATAATATCGGCCCAATGCTATACCTTATCGAGAAGAAACCCGATTTGGGCACGCGAAAGTTCGTCATATGTGCTTGCACAAATGCCACGCCAAGCAAATAAGCAACACGCCACGCTACAAGCTTAAGTGGGCCCAAGCCACGCGAACGCCTGGGGCTTGCTGAGCGGGTTGTGGTATGGATGGTTACGAGTATTCACGAGGCCCATTGATGGTCCAAGGAGTGGAAGTTTTGGGCTATTTGGGAGCACCAAAACTCAAGCCCATTCCTTGAGCCCAAACATATGGGTAAGCATGAGAGAAAAACCTAGTAGCCCATCACCTTAAGAAAACCTAATAGCCCATAACACGTGAGAAAATCCCACATTAGCCAAAGCTTCCAGCAGTCTGACGAAATCAAAGGGAACTCACAAGCCGCTGGAAACAAAACAGCCCAGCCCAGCACCTTATAAAATATCCAACGTCATGCATCTCTGTTAAAGCCATATCGCAGCCAAACCACCAAAACCAAGCAAACCCAGGTGCTGATCACCTTTTTGACCAAGCACCCTTACCCATTCTTTCCTCTTCAAGCTTTGGTGAGAAAACAAGAAACAAAAGTGGGCGACTCCTCACCCACATGGAGAAGCCCAGCTGCCTGAGGACCTTGAAACCCCAAAAAGCTGCGTGCCTATGGGTTCAGGCTAGGGAAATTTCACCAAACAAGAGTAAATGGAAGAAAGTGAGGAAAAAGGGAGAGGGTGGCTTGACAAATTAAGGTTTTTAATGCCTATAAAAGGAGCCACTTTCTTCCCAGCAAAACACACAACAAACCGATCGAACGCAAGCATCCCCCCTGGAATCCTTCAATTTCATGCTTTGTTCTTCCATTTTCCTCCTTTCTCTCTCTCAAAACCCACATCCAGAGAGAGCAAGCATCATCTCTCATCTCTGGAACCCTCTGATTTCAAGCCTTGTTCTTCCATTGCTTCCCATTTTCTCTTCTGTCAAATCGCCCAGGAGCTTGACGAAGCTTTCGTCAAGCTGCTGGAAATATGCTAAAACCACCCATGCTCTCATCTTCTTCCTCACTCTCTCTCTCTCACAACACACATCCAGAGAGCAAGCTTCCTCTCTTGCATGCAAAACCTTGCAATTTCGTGCTCCATTCTCCCTTCTCTCCCATTTTCCCTCTTCTGGCAGACTGTTCTCACATTTGACAGAACCTCTGTCAAGCTGTCGGAAGAACACTTAAGACACCCATTTCTTTCTCCCCCTTTTCTCAGCCAAACCTGCTTGCAAACCTTCCCTTTCTTACCTTAACACTCCCTTTTTCCCCCAAGTATGCATAATTTTCTCTTCGGTGCTAAACTCATGTCGATTTTGCTCCCATGCCACAAGCTTCTCATGCCAAGCGAAGAATTTATCTGTAAGCAGCCATTATTTTCGTTGGTGAAGGTAACCAAAGTGTTTCCTAAGGCTTTACAACCCTTTCGAAACATTTTGGGGTCTGATCTTTGAACTCAGACACAAGGGGCATATTTTCTTTAGTTTTCTCCTTACGGCAGCCCAAGCCCGCAGTAGCTGCCGGAACGAAAAAGCCCCTACATAAATTGGCGACTCTGCTGGAGATCAGGCCATTATCTTCACCAATGCCTCCAAGGAAGAAAACCAGAGAAAATAAAGAGATAAGAACATTCCCTCTTTCTTTTTCTTTTTTTCCTTTTGTTGGCTATCTACTTTGCAAAACAAGCATAACATGGGTGACTGAATGTGCTTTTTTTTTCTTGTGTCTTAGATCTCCATTCTCAAGCAAAACAGATCTTGTACAAGGACTGGGGGCTTAGGCAAATCCATCATTCATGCCATTGAAGCGAACTACATATGCAAACTACAAAATACTTGGGGGCTTCGTGCCAAGCAAATCTGTAAAAAAAAAAAAAAAGATGAGTCAAAATTCAGTTCCAAATAACTTGGGGGCTTCCTGCCAATTGAAAAAAAAAAAGTCAAGCACAAGCACTTCAAAGTTTCTCATGCTAAACCAAGCTATGCCTCGGTTCCAAGAGCTGTGATTCAACATTATTCACATCTTCAACCAAGTCCAAGCTATATACATTCATTCATCATTGTTTCCACCACTTGCCTTATTTTCAAACCTTCTTAGCCTCTACCTGATTTCAATCCATCCTTACAACAATTAAACAACCTCATTGCACCTCTAAAAGAACACTTGAAGTGACCTTAATGACTAGCTTGTTCTTCTCATGCTTTGGAACCTCTAAATCAAGTCTTAAAAAAAGATACAGATGCTGGAGAGGTATTCGTGGAAAAAAAAAAATAGAGGTGCCAGAAGCATATTTTCTTACATTCTTCCAGCTCCTACTCTACAAGCAAAGAATTTCTGGCACTTCCTTTATTTCAAATCTTATTAGCCCCTGCCCTATTTCAAACATCATGATAGTGTATATGCTCCTTAATCCCCAAAGCTCAATTTATCCTTGCAACAATTCAACAAACTCATTACATCTGTGAAAGTAACCAAAAAACTCACCTTTATTCTATCAAGTTCCCAGCAAATCAGTAAGAAGATGGCATTTCTCATGCTTTGGAACCTCTAAATCAAGCCTGAAAAAGAAACAAGGGAGTACGTTGGCCAGATCAGATGCTGGAAGGGAACTCATAAACGAAAAGGGGGTGCCGGAAGCATAATCGCTATTGAAGCATAATTTTTACCAAAGACAAGTTGCAAGAGACCAAAACTCACTTTCATGCTATCAAAATCCTAGAAAATTAGACTTCTCATGCTTTCTCATGCTTTGGAGCTTCTAAACAAGAGAATACGTTAGCCAAAATCAGACGCCGGAAAGGTACTCACACAAAGGGAGGCGCTGGAAGCATAATTTTCTCAAGCAAACTCATCTATCAAGCATTTGACAAATTCACAGGGCGTAATACCAATCCACATGCCAAGAAATTTCATTTCATTCAAGCATTCCAAGCAATTCAGGCATTTCAAGCAAATTGAAGAACTCATGCTCTTACCATTTCACATCATGCTCTCACGAAAATATTGCTCAAGATCATCCTCTACCAATGCCCATATCAACACTCAATTCCAAGAGAAAGGACATGCTAAATTCTCAAACAAAAGCAACATGCCAAGCAAAACTTATACACAAGCTTTCCAACCATTCTAGCTAGAACATCTCACCTTTGAAAAATCACTAGAAATCAAGCTTACAACCAACAAGTCCCAAACTTTCCAGATTAGAACTAGACATATCAAGCTTCATTGTCCCAAAATTTCGTTGCATTTTGAGCTAGGGAAGCATGTCAAACAGATTCCTAAAACAGCCCATGCCGCAGGAACTGCACAGTTCCAGTAGCTTAGCCCTTACTTTGAAATTCCACTGAAAATTCATTTTTTCTTCAAGTGACGCAAGACCAATTCCAACATAATAATTGAGAAGTCCATTTTTATGTCTCAAAAGCTCCAACTCAGATTCGAAAAGAAAAATTTCAAAAGTTCAAAAAACAGCTAGCAAACTACTTTGAGATATTTTGACAAACACTTGGCATGCATACCTAAGTGAGCTTGTATGACTCTTGTTTATCACCAAGCTAGAATCCTAAATCAAAAAGTCAACCTCAAAATTCGATTTATAGTTCACAAATGTTGGGAAATACAGAGGAACTCAAGCATTCAAGCATAGAAAACAAGCATGCAACAAAGGCATCAACATTAACTCATGAACATGCTTCAGAAGAATGGAGGCAGAGAACACTAGAATGGGTGGATGATCCTCAATTTTGGATATGTTATAAACAACATAATTTCAAGCAAATTTTGTGAAGGAAGCGCAATCATCCAAGCATCATAAGTTAAAGACATATGCAGAAGCAGAATCTGCAGAAACTCACCAGTCATGGATGAATGCAGAAGTTGCAGACCAGGTTTGAGGTATCAGGAAAATTCTACAAATTCTACAAATTTACAGGCTATAGTACTCGAGCAGATGAACAACTTTTATCAAGGAACTTTTCTGATCCGAGCTTCAAACATCTGACTTCTGTGTCGATGAACAATACCCACGGATTTGGGTCTTGAAGAAGAAGAAGAAAGAAGAGTGAAAGAAAATCAGAAAATAAAGATGCCATGCCAAATGAAAGGAAAAGACAGCAGCCACTTGCAAATAAAAAATTCAAGAGGAAGGGCAACACAATTTTGCCCACATGAGAGCCAAGCCAAGTCACGTTCTTCCAGCACCTATTCCACATTAAGTAAAGTATTGTCAGCATCTACTCCACAAGCAAAGAATTTCTAGCACCTATTCCGCCGAACAAAATAATTTCTAGCATTGCTATATTTCAAACATCCTTCCAGCACATGCCAATGCCAAGCATCCAAGCATACAAGGCCGAGCCAAGCGAACATGCCAATACCAAGCATCCAAGCATACAAGCCCGAGCCAAACGTACATGCCAATGCCAAGCATCCAAGCATACAAGCCCAAGCCAAGCGTACATGCCAATGCCAAGCATCCAAGCATACAATCCAAAATCAAGCCCCTCTAGTCACTCAAGCAAATAAATCATGCAAGCTATGTTATTTTGAGCTAATCCACCAAGCATTTTCTTCTCTTGGTAACTCTAGTAAGTGACCCAAAATTACAGTGTCTAGGAAATTTCTTTAAGGCAACACCCTCGGTGTTTAAGAAGGATTGGGTTTTAAGCGGGACCATTGCGACCCCTCCAACCTTCCCAGAAAAGACCTGGCTGTAATTTCAGAGACCCTTAACTGGTCATCCTTGAGTTGCTCCTAAACCCATGCCATGCCATGCCATGCCACTACAATTTATTTTGGGCTGGAAATTGATTATTTGGACCATTTCAATACACATTCATGGCCCCAATAATCAAGGGGGCTAATGTTGAGGCCCAAAAAATCCACGGTTCGGCCCAAATAAATTCTCGGCCCAATGCAATACCTTACCGAGAAGAAACCCGATTTGGGCACGCGAAAGTTCGTCATATGCGCTTGCACACATGCCACGCCAATCAAATAAGCAACACGTCACGCTACAAGCTTAAGTGGGCCCAAGCCACGCAAGATGCCTGGGGCTTGCTTGAGTGGGTTGTGGTATGGATGGTAACAAGTTGACATGAGGCCCATTGACGGACCAAGAAATGGAAGTCCCAAGGTTGCTTGGGAGCCTCGGAACTCAGGCCCATTTCTTAGGCCCAAACATGTGGGTGAGCACAAAGAGAAAATATCCCAACCAAATTATCCTAACCAAAATAGCCAATTGACTCAACCAAAAAAGCCCAATGCTTGATAGCCCACTTACTCAATAAACCCACTTGGCCTATACAATTACAATAGAAGAGCTGCAAAGCTCCAGCACCTGGCTGAAGAACAAAGCCACGAAGGGAAGTCTGGAGGTCCACTATGCAGAGCTGCTAGGAAGTTCCAGCACATGGGAGGAACAAATTTCAAGTAAAAACTTCCAAAGGACCAAGGGATATTGGAGCGCAAATCACCATTTGAACCAGCATGCATACCCATTCTCTTTACCTCATCAGACCTGGCCATAAAAAAAGGAAGAAAGGAAAGGAAGGAGATGGCTGAAAATGGGAGTTTTGAGGCAACTGCGGGAAAGGGCCTTGAGCTCCCAAAAATCCATGATTTTGTGCAAATGGGCAGAGTGGATTTCACTAAAATAGGATGATTGAAGGGATGATGGGAGAAAGGAAGGGAAAGACTTGGCCAAATTGGATAGAAACCATTAGGGTTTCTTGAAAAAGGTAGCTTCCAGCGGCTATAAAAGAGGGCCTCTTCTACCCAACCAAAGACAACCCACATCTAGAGAGCAAGCTTCATCTCTCATCTCTGAAACTTTGCAATTTCGTGCCCTATGCCTCCATTTTCTCCCATTTTCTCTTATGGCAATCCATTCCAGAGTCCTTGGCAAAGTGGGATGGAAGCTGTTAGGGTTTCTTGGAAAAAGATGGCTTCCAGCGCCTATAAAAAGAGGCATTTCCTACTCATCATCACAACACACAGCTGGAGAGCAAGCTTCCTCTCTCACCTGCAAAACTCAGTAATTTCGTGCTTTGCTTGCCCATCTCCCCCATTTTTCTTCTTCTGGCAGATTGTTCCAACACTTGACAGAGTCTCTATCAAGCTGCCGGAAGAAACAATCAAGCCACCCATCCCTCTCTCTCCCTCCTTTCTCAGCCAAATCTTCTTGCAAACCTTCCATTTCTTACCTTAACACTCCCCTTTTCTCCCAAGTACGCATAATTTTCTCTTCGGTGCTAAACTCATGTCGATTTTGCTCCCATGCCACAAGCTTCTCATGCCAAGCCAAGAATTTATCTGTAAGCTATTGTTATTTTTGTTGGTGAAGGTAACCAAGGTGTTTCCTAAGGCCCTACTGTCCTTTTGAAGCATTCTTGGGGCTTGATTTTCGAACTCAGACACAAGGGGGATATTTTCTTTAGTTTTCTCCTTATGGCAGCCCAAGCCCGCAGTAGCTGCCAGAACGAAAAAGCCTACAAGGAAAATCCAAAATTAATGAAAAAGAAATAAATGATTCTGAAATTGTTAAGTGCCCTTTTCCTCCTCCATTCCCACAAGCACGTAAGGCTGTAAAGAAAAATCAAAATCCTGAAATTTTGGAGGTTTTTAAACAAGTGAAAATCAATATACCTCTTTTGGATGCTATAAAACAAATTCCTTCATATTCAAAGGATTTATGCACTATCAAAAGAAAGCACAATGTTGATAAAACCGCATTTTTAACTGAAAATGTAAGTGCAATTCTTCAAACTAATACTCCACCCAAGTACAAAGATCCAATTTGTCCCACAATTTCTTGTATTATTGGGAATTTTAGCATTGAACAAGCTTTATTGGATATGGGTGCTAGTGTTAATTTATTGCCTTACTCGGTTTATAAGCAATTGGGTCTTGGTGAATTAAAACCCACCTCAGTAACATTGCAATTGGCTGACCGTTCAGTCAAAATCCCAAGAGGTACTGGTGGAAGATGTGCTGGTTTAGGTAGACAAATTTTATTTTCCAATTGATTTTATAGTTTTGGATACTGAACCAGTTGTGCATTCTAGTTCTTAAATTCCTGTTATTCTTGGAAGACCATTTCTTGCTACATCTAATGCCCATACAAATTGCAGGAATGGACTTATGCAACTATCATTTGGGAACATGACACTGGAGCTCAACATATTCAACATATGCAAGTAGCCCGCAAACAATGAAGAAGACAAAGAAGTTTACATGATCGAGACAATTGTTCAAAATTGCTTTAATTCTTCTTTTTCTGTTGATCCATTGCAAATTTGTTTAGTAAATGGGGGTTGTTGACAGGACCCGCCCCAAATTTCCTCGGACACAATTATTTACAACCCAAAAGCCAGCATGCATTACACAAAGCATAGTGTTTACAAACCATGGCCTCCAGCCTCACAAATCAACCCTAACAGGACAATAACAGAGCATATCTAACAGAATTCAACAAACAGGTAGAAAAGGAAGTTTAACGAATTTACAAAGTACAGAGACTCTACGAAAGCT